AACTTTTCCAAAGCAACATTTATGCCTGAAAACTTTCATAGGTTTCTACATTACACCAGAGGGCAGTATTGCATCATTTACGACTACCTATAAACTTTGAAACACCTGTGAAGCAAAAATACAAAAGATGAAAAAGGCAAGTAAAAAAGCAAACAAAACATAAAACTTTAACTGTTTAATCTGATAATTAAAATGAACTTCTAAGGGATGCTAATTTATTTTGGTGGGTACATTTAATAAATGCTAGAAATGCAATACTTTGCTCTCTATAGTCATACTTAATCAGTTACCACTTCCATTCTAGAACTTCTTTCAGGGAAGGCATTCCATCCCATTTAAGTTTCACATTCACAAAGACCCTACAACCCTACAAAAACTCAAAATCTAAAGATTCTGATTAAAGCCCAGAAGAACTTTGACACGGAACAACCACTGATTAATATTTACAGCTTGATTTGGATGTTCATTTCTAGGAGTTCAGAATATCAATTTATATTTAATTCATCTTTATTCTAGCATCATGAAAAGCCAACAGTTTTTTTTAAACCCTCAATGTATGAAAGGAAATCAAGGGCAGGGATGCTGCCATCTGTATTAGCTATATGGCATTTATCCCCAATATTAATAAATCCCAGTAAATTAGATGAAGCATTCTGACACACCAACTTCAATAAAACCTATGTTACTTTTATGAAATGAACAGCTGAGAATAAAATATACACATGGGAGGAACATGAGCCTTCCTCCACACCATAGGTACAGACATTTCGACTGAAGATGACAAGTAGGTTTCCCTGGACAGTTTATATTGGACTGTTGGAGCTGTAGAAAAAGGTTTAAGACAAAGTCTCAGAAGTATCCAAACAGAGAAAGAAAAGGAAAACACAGTATGGAAAAAATGAACATGCAACTCCAAAAAGAATCAAGATCAAAATCTCAAAATTGAAAAAAGAATGTGTTAAAATTGTCCCTGGAATGAATACCCCAAAAGCAGTATCTTCTTATGTAATAAGAAATAATATGCAGGAAAGCCAGTGTATACCATCATTTCTGACTTGCTGCACACAGACATTGCATCTTTATTTGCAAATGTCAATCAATTTGCCAGTATAAATTAGTAGGCTTAATTATGTTAAGAATAACAGAAGTAGAACTACAGCACATGCAATAGGATGTTCACAGATTTCAATAAATCTTGCAATGAAATAATTAAAGATTATTATCCTGATGTTCCTAAAATTGGCACATCCTGTTTTTCAATATGTAATTTGTAGGGAACTGTGCTGGTGTAAATATCATGTTTCTGTATTTCTAAGTCCAGAACATGGCTGTGTCATGGCTCTGGCCTGAGACACCTGCATAAACATCCATGAATTCAAAGAAACTGCAGCAATATCAGCTCCTGGAATCCTTTGAAGGACTCTCTTTTCACCACCTAATCATGTAGTCCAGGTACGATTGAGTCAGCATGCTCACCATCTCCCAGAAAATTTTATAGGCTGCAAATATATCTACCCCAAAGGTGGTGCTGGTGGTTGCCCAGGCTGAAAGCAAGTTAATAAAATGCCATTGAAAGCTTTTTCTTTACTTGTACTGCACTTTTCCTTGCGGTACCTTGTCTTTGAATAACCGAAGTAATCTTACAGACAATGGTGTCAAAGGTTTCCCAGGTCATCTGGAACATATATCTAAAGCCATGCTTCATCCCAATCCCCAGTTTTCAACATGGAAAGTCAAAAAGGTTTAGTGTTGGGCAGACACCATCACAACAATGCAGACTGCTCAGTGTTCAACTATTCTTCCACTAGAATTGTGCTGCTGCCCATACTCTTTACATGCAAGAAAAGGGCAAATTGTGCTGCTGCCCATACTCTTTACTTACAAGAAAAGGGCAAATAAAAGCATGGCAGCCTCTAGAACAGTTGTGTTTTCTTTTAAATAGCTCCTGCCTTTGTTGCTTGGAGAAACAACCCACAGTTGTGACTTCAGGCATCACAACAACCCATGGTTTAAACAACCCAGTGTTGTTTCCCAAACAACAAACCATGGTTCTCCAGCTGTTTTATTGGTAGTTAGGATACCATGGTTTACTAGCGTGGCCATTTTCGTATGTCACAATGGAGCAGAATTCAACAATCCATACCGTCTAACTCAACTGTGTGTGACCCCAGACACACAACCTAATATACATAACATGAATAAATGCAGATGCATTCCTTTGACTGAACAGCACATTTAGGCTGTTTCTCACTTACCTAAAACAACGTGTACAGAGATGCTGACATAATAGGTTGGATCCAGACTTCCCCTCTCTGAATAGAAGGGCATCTTCCATTAAAAACTGAGATTCAACTGAGGCTGTCTGCTTAACAAAGTGGACACAGCAGCATTTTTATCTGATTCTCTACCTGTACCCCCCACCACAATCTCCTATGCTTTTTCAAAAGCTCTTTAAGTGCCACAGCAACTGAAGAAAGGAGGAAGCAGCAAAGTATGTTCTTGTTCCTTTCTTCCTATGCAAGCAGAACTCCGCTGAGCACAAATCCAACCCAATATATGGCTGTACAACCAAATTATGTGGGTCAACATGCATACGACATCAGCACAGGACTTAATAATAGCAACAGCAACATTCTGGTACCAGCACATCAATTCATTTTTTGTGATCCTCCACAGACAAATAAGCCCAGTTTAGAAGACAAAGCATATGCTACTGAACATTTTAAGGAAAACAGTTTAAAACATTAATATTATAAGGGTAATTCAAAGAGGATTAAAGAAAATGTTTTGTTTTCCTAATGGATTAATAAACTCTCCGGATTTACAGAGCAACTAAAATACAGCTCTCCTTAAAAAAAAAACTAACAAACTTCAAAACATCTTCTCATCTTCTTAAAACTATTTCAAAATTATTTTCTATTGCATTGTTTTAATTCTGGATATAGCATTAAACACTGTCCTTTGTCAGGAACGATAATGGTGCAGGAACACCCTCATTTAAGATTGCTCTTCCCTACCTGCTGCCCTCCAGATGTTGGGAGTACAGATCCCATGAATTATAACTGGGCTGAGATCATCAGAGTGTAGTTCAACACAACTCGAGGGTAGCAGGCTGTTGTACTGTCTTGTCATAACAATATCTGATAACTGCAGCATTACTTGCAATCCCTTTTTGTTTGATAGATGGTTAAATGAAAGAACACTATTTCTTTTATCTTGATTCTTATGTGGCAATTTCTCTTATCTTCAATTCTAAAAACAAAGCCTCCTGATTCTTCTTTAAATGCAAAGTAGTCAAATTGAAATATTTTATTCTGTACCAGTTATTTTTATAAAGCACATTATTTTATTTGCAAGAACTAAAATCACAAGTAGCAATATGGTGAAAATGGCAAAGCACTGTATCACAAGGGAGTGGAAAGTCAGTTTAAGAACTTCACATGCCTCCTAAATAATCCTCTGTAGCTTACTACACATTGCAAGTATTCATGAAGGCTGCTGCTATGTTCCATCCAGCTGATTCTTTTGCCATTCTGAACCCCACTTTGCTGCCCACAAGGTATGTCTGGAGAGCTGAGGGTGTGGGGAGTGAACTATATCATAGGAACTTGAGGTAGAAAGGAGCAATGCACTATAAACTGTCCTCCAACTCATTCTTTGTACCAATTTAATATAGACCGTATTCCTAAAGCATGTCATATGCTGCTTCAAGGTTTTAATGTTATTAATGTATTTTGAGTAATGCAGATTATTTTATTGAAAAGGAGTCGAAAAGGCAAAATGTGCTGATACCAGTATGATCATGGAGGGAGGGAAGGGGAGAATATGCATGCATGCATGCATGCAAGAAAAAGTATAGATAGTAACACAGAACAGCTCACTAAGGAAATGAGGACAAAAACAGATTAAAGGAGAATAGGAATTTATGTTCTAATAGGTGAGTGATTCATGAGAAACCAGAGCAATACTGGAAGAAAGCAAAAATTCTGGGGAAGCAAACTCATGAATGTAATCACAGTTCCACTAATACCAGCACCTCCTTTGTGGTAATTTCCTTATCCTCTACCTTTCTGATATAAGTGCATTTAAGTTCTATTTTATCTGTTCCACAGCATACACACTCCTTCAGTATGCATTGCCTTTTTAATTGTATATATTCCAGAGTAAGCTTAATTCTTGTCTTATAATACACCAATTTCTGATGTATTAAAATATTGTAAAGTTAAAATTTCTGTAATAGTTTATTTAAGAACCAGGCACTACTTAACTACTGAGCAGCTTAGACAAAGATAATCCAAAAGAACCACGTATAAATCATGGTGTGCCATGTCTTTACTACATGTATTAACAGGAACTGGTTTATTGTGATCAGACTTTTAATTTGTAGCAAACTTGTCTTAGTAAAATGGAGATTTCTCAACAAATTTTCTAGTCTTTGATGTCATACTTTAAAAAACCAGAACAATAATGTACCATCATCATTTTCCTACTGCAGTCAGTTCACTGACAGTGCACACCCCAGCTGTTTTCCTTTGCCTGTAGCCTACCTCTCCTCATACATACATGCAGGCAGGCAATGAATGTTACGAATGAAACCCAGAGGCAAATGGATAGTCCATGGTGAACTGCATCTCTATAAAAATATTGGGGCAGCAACCTGACAGGCACTTAAGTGAACGGAAGACACTTTCACTCATGTAAAGGGAACTGGCAGATGCCACAAACACCTCTTCTGTCTGTAGATTCTCACACCATATCCCAACACTGTCCTCAGTCCCTTGAGGGAACAAGGAACTGCAGAAATAAAGTACAAATGCTCCATTTAGTGAGAGGAACTCCACTCACACTTCTTTGGATTTATAATCATTCACCATGCTTTATTTTTATTTATAGGGGTTACAGACTGCATCTTGATCCAAATGAAGCCTTCAGGATGGTATACTTAAGAAATAGTTACTGTTTGATAACTGAGATCATTTAGATCAAAATAATCAACTTACCTGGGTTGGTACAAGTACTGGAGGATATGCTAATTTGTGGTGTCGGTACATCCAAAATGAAAACAGAACTATCACTGCAATTCCCATTATAGGCACAAGAGAATAGAGCAAAGTAGTAAACAGGGGTGGTTTAGATGGGACAGGATTGGAAGTAGCTGCAGAAAAAGAAGGCACAGTTAGTTTTCTGACAGCTTAATACTACAGCAGAAATTATGCACCAACTCTTACCATTTGGATAAAGTTATGTATATGAAACGATGAGTGATGGCATCACTTAATAACTTCGATCAAAGATTAAACTTTTAAAGCACTAAATATGCAGTTATTTGTTCATTTTCACTTGTTCATTTGATGTATGTTACGAGACTTGAAAACTTGCCTTGCATTTCATTATGGGTAAGTAGTATCAATATTATTTCCATGTTTCTGATTCTGAAACTAAAAATTCCCTTGACCACAAGAGCCTCAAGAGTACAACTGCAACTTTAAATGCATATAATAATACTTATTTTAACTTTAGTTAAAACAGTTTCAAATTTTGAGAATGAGTATAAAGCTCAAAAGAGAATAAGGATAAAGCTTAAAAGAATATTAATGAGAAACTGAATTACAAGATCCTTTGTGCTTTACTTTTAAAGAAAAATGTATAGTAGGTTTACAGTAATGTAAAAATAAAGAGCTGCTATATGACAATTTTATTTTGTGAAAGGATTATTCATGTCACAGAATTACATTTAAAATGAATTTCACACTGCTTAAAGCACATCTAATTTGTCTGAATTCAGATGCAAACTTAAACTACAGTTTAATGCTGGACAGGTACAAGTCTCAGATTTGTGCTGTTCCCTCCTCTTGCACAATCATGAGTACATTTGAAGCATCTGCCTTCACATTTAAATTACGTGGCATGTCTTGTTCAATCTCAAGTGGAAAGTCTGGCAAGTTAAAACTAAACTTTACTGGAACAAGTAAACCACAGTTTGCCTGTGGTGGCTAGAAGCTGACAAAGTCACATCAGGAGATGCGGAGGGAGGGAGGTTCTTTACCAATGCCCAACAATACTTTATAGCCAAGCCAGGCTACTGTTCCTTCCTTCCTGATTGATGGATTGCTTGTGTATGCTGCCCCATAGCCAAAGGGCTCTCTTCCTTCCTATGCTCTCACAATTATTGTGTTGAGGAGGCAGGACTACACACCAGTTTGTACACAAACATTCAGTTCTGGCTTGTCCACACTGATTGACAATTCCAGGCCAAATCTAAACTGCTGTTTTAACCTACAATGGAAAGCACAGTTCAGAACCCAAATATGTCAAGCACTGCCCTCCCACTATGAACCTACCCACTATGAGCATCACAGGGTCTTCTCTGTGTAGTGCCCCCGTGGGACTATTAGGAATTTGAGAACAAGTGTTTTTATGGTAACCATAGATTTCTGGAACTGTATCCTCAAGGAGTCAACATTATCCTATTGCTGGTATTGGGGGAAGACACATTTATTGTCTCGGGTATCGTGGACATCAGTTGTTTTTGTTGTGAGGGGAAATTATTTGGCTCTTTGATCCATGCATTGATGAACAATTTTAGTACCTTTTAAGATTTATTAAGTTAGGTTTGTTTTTATCTGAATTGCTGTGATTTATGTTGATTTTATATTGCTCTTGTTATATTATACATTTTGTATCCTTTGTAAGTCACCTCAAGAGCACTTTTGTGGTGGAAAATAATAAATGCAATTATAATAAATAAATGACCATTACAGGCAATAGTTACAGTGTACATTTATGTACTGAAGACTGAACTGTTATCTAGAACCTTTCACCTTGCAGTGTTGCACTACACTTTTTAGATTCAATTAACATTTAAAAATCTGAACAGGCCTTTCTGAAAATGGCCATTTCATTTAAACATGAGCTCTCTTAAAACCAATACATGAAGCTACATGGAAGATTTTCCAAATACACAGAAACTGCACTGTGGCTAAGAGAGTGATCCCATGGTGCTTAGACAGCATCTAGCGGGCAAAGGCTATTTCAGACTCCCGGACTGATGGTCAAAAGCAGAGCTCCAACCTCTGGACAGGAGATCCATTCTACAATCCCTCCTGCCCCCCTCACAGACAGCACAGAAAGAACCATACAGGTGGCTTCTTTCAGGTCAGAAATGCCAGCAGTAAAGGGGGTGAGGAAAGGTGAAAACTGGGGCTGCCAGGATATGATGGATCTGACAGCACTCCAGCCTTCTTGCCTCCTCATCTAAAGTGCTGCAGCTAAGCAGTCAAAATTGCACAGCAGGAGGAAATGGAGATGGAGACTGCTTTTTTCCCTCCACCAATTCTGCCCTGGATGCTTGTAAGCCTCCAAGTTTGGAGTCTTGCCAGAATCAAGGATTTAGGCCTAATATACTCTTTAGAAAAACTGAACTACTTACGTTGTGTGACTCCCATCTCCGGAAAGTAGAATATACGTTCATTGCACATGTTGCCCTCACAGCAACAGAAAAACACATCAGGACTGTCTTTCCTTTCTATGCAGTCATTCCTGAAAAAGATTAAAATCCATTAATTTTTTTCTTTTATATTGTATATATTTCAGCATACTGAATGTCTGATAACCTGTGCATAATAAGTTAATATGAACTTTTAACATTTGGTATTTTTGCATTTACACTGGAAAGAATGTGATATTTAAAACAGAGGTGGACCAATTATTTTTCAATCATATTTAATCATGAAAAACACAAAAAGTTGTCTAAAATTGCAGCTTTTCCCTACAGCATAAAAGATCCCCTTTAACTGCCATTTACTTCTCTTGACAAAGGGGAAAGCAATCACACTGTACAGCACAATATAATTTCCTTCCTTTGAAGTGACTGCTGATCATGATGCTCATCTTGCTACGGACCACCATTTTAAAGTGATTATAACAACCACTCTAGGAAGTGTGATACTTGTCTCTTGCCAGAAGAGTTGTAAGCACACTATATATTGTTTTTAAGCTTTCACTTCAGCTCAGTCATAATTTTAACTATGAACCAAAATAAGTATTTTCAGACTAACTTTAATACAGCATAAGCTCTCATAAATTGGAACATATAAAGCTTGCACTAATTAAAATCTTTCTGCAGAAATGCTACTTTGAATTATACTTCGTATTTTAACATGCATATTTTATTGGATGCAGCCCTATATTTTTATTTGGTATTTTTCCTTGCAATAAATGTGCATGTTTTGTTAATTTAGTGCACATTATTAAGACTTCTTTAGCAAGACCGTATTTCTGTTGTAGGGAGATTCTATTTGCCCAAGGACAACTGCCAATATCACAAAAAGTATCTATCCATCTACATCATTATATGACTTTTGCAATGCATAGCCTTGTCTATTCCACTTGTATAACAGTATAACAGTTCCTATGAGCTCCTTAAAGTTCCATATTTTCAAAAAACAACTGTATAAAGAGTTGAAAATCATCTTCTGTAAACATGCAAGAAACATCTTAAGACTTCTTTCCCCACCTCCAACTCTAGTAACATCCTCTTTCTAGAGAAAGCAGCTTCTGAAACCAATTCAATAAAAACTGAATACAATGTTGGAGAGACTCTTCGGGAACATATTGCAGTGGAAATTAAAAGTGATGGAAATAAAATACAAACAATATCACCATACCATAACTCCTGCAACCAATAACTTAAGGAGAGGCATTTCAACTTTTAAAATAAGGGAAAACATCAAACTAATAGTGCTTGAGGGAGAGTGGATATGGTTGTCCGGGTAAACATGGAGGATCAGACTGGAACCCCAGGAAAAGCAGGTTGTCCACCTGGAACTGTCATTCTTTGAGTGGTCATCTGCACTCACATATAGGCTCTGCGTACATGCATGGTGCTCATTCAGAAAGATTCCAAGGCTGATTAATTATTATTTAGTGGAAGCCTGGCTCCTAGCCACCCTCACTGTGGGGGAATGGGCTCCCAACAAGAGCTCAGTCTGAAACTGAGACTGCCATGAAGTATGACCCCTGTTAAGAGTAAGGGGTGTGGATATCCCTTCGGTATCAAGCAACATAGTGGAAATGGCGTGATGCTTGAATGCACTGACGACCACTCAAAGGATGACAGTTACAGGTGGGCAACCTGCCTTACTTTATTGTGGTCTCTGTGCATCACACATATGGGCAACTGGCAGGCTTACCTCTTGGAGGAAAGTGGTGTCACTTAGCAAAGAATGAAAGTGAGGATGGCTTTCCTGAAGATGCATTCTACTCTAGCCTGGATATCCAGCTGATTGTGGCAAACTGAGGTTGATCAGTTCAACGTAGTTACTGCTTGACACACATCATCAAGAGAAACTCCGATATACATAGCTGTGGAGGTTGCCGTCATTCCAGTTGAATGAGTGTAGATAGGGATAGTGACTGAAGCTTGGGGAGAATGTAAGCTATTTGGATTGTTGAAGATATCCAGTTAGCCAGTCTTTGAGAAGAGATGGGTGAGCCTGGAGCTGCACCTTCCTAGGCAACAAAAAGTCTTTGTGACTTACAAATAGGGTTGTGGCCTTATAAAAGGCTAAAGCCCTGCACACATCTAGGGAGTGAAGGGCTAATTCAACTGGGTTGGAGGGGGACTTAAAAAAGGCTGGAAGTACAATGAGTTCACTGATATGAAAGGCAGAGACAAATTTTTGAAGGAACATGGGATCGAGGTGAAGTACTACTTTATATTTGTGAGATAAAGTGAATCAATCCTGAGGGCAGCTATGCTGCTGATCCAACAAGCTAAGCTGACAGCCATTGGAAAGGCCATCTTAAATGACACAAGATGGAGATCAGTGGAAGCCATGGGTTCAAAGGGTTTTTGAGTAAGTGAGTGGAGAACAACAGAAAGACTCCAAGCTAGTTCTGGTTGCTGGACTGCTGGGGTGAGATTAACAATGCTTTTGAGGAACTTTTGGGGGGCGTGGAACACAGAGATGGCAGGCATATAAATCTTGATAGAAGAGGGTTTGAGATCTTTTTGTATGGAGAGTTAAGGAAGGAAAGAATTTGGCTGACAGAAGTCCTGTGCAGTTGAAAACTACGTTGGGATGTGAAATGAGAGAATGCAGTCCACTTTGTGTTGTATGATCTGTGGGTAGTGAAGCATTGAGGATCAGCTAGATGTTGTGAGATAAGTCCTTCACTGATTTTGAAATGATAGGATTTTCTACGCCATAAAATGGAGAGTATGTCTGGATGGAGGACTGTCCCACGATCTCAGGAAATGACGTGGGATCGGAAGGGTAGTTGGTAATAGGAATGACTGGAGAGGTTGAAGATGGGGGGACCACTGCTTTCTGAGACACCAAGGTGTGATCAGGATCAAGTCTGTGGAATCTCTAAGGATCTCTGCTACTACTTTTGGAATGAAAGGAAAGCAGGGAAATAGCTAGAAGAAATTCCTGCTCCACTGGAGGAGGATACTTCCACTCCTGATGTACCACACCGGGTAGGATAGGCAGGAGAGGTATGGTGACTGGTACAGTAGCCTCAGCATAAATCACTTCAGAGACTGGATCCTTTGCCCTCCCAAGATTCTGGCATGGGCTGAGTCCAAGACTATGTGGAGAATTTGAGTGTAGAAAAGGCCAGTGTCCTTTGAGGTGTGTGGTAAATTGCAGGGTGACTTATATGGAGTAGTAGGGACTTCTGACAATCTGTCTGTGGTAGTTGGTTTCCACAATGAAGTATAAGGCTCAGAGTCTGACTCAGTCAGTTCAGCAAATGCCATGTGACAGTGATGTGACAACTTAGTATGAGATGGTTCAAAGTATTGGGTCGCTGTCTCTCCATCATCCCTGTCTGATCACGGAAGTTGTATCGGTATAATTGTATCGGTTTTGGTAGAGAACTGATCAGGCATGCCTTGTCTAGAGTCAAGGGAAGCCCAGACCTCTGTATGATGAGAGGCTTCAAACTCATGTCTCAATGGTGGAGTTGGCCAATGGGGTCTGCAGTCCCTGTCAGCAACTGGGGAGCAAGATGTATATCTGCATCTTTTAAATTCGGCTGCAATATATACACTTGGAACCAAGGACAGTGGAGAATTGGGACTCTGAGCAGAGACAAAGTCAGACTGCTGTATTACCGGGGTGGGAGGGTGCTCTTGAATCTCTCCTTCCAAAAAGGAGGTATTTGGGGCCAGTTGTGGTGGCTGGGCTGAAGGCTCCTGTGCCAGTCCTGGTGCCAGAGGTGCATTGGACCAACTCCTGCGCAGGCATCATGTCTTCAATACACAGAAGGCCTTGGAGGTGGTGGCATGTTGCAGCATTTCTTTGCATGTTTTTTGCCCTCTCTGTCTTTAGAAAGACTGGGAGTTTTCTGAGGTTTGGTCTTTTTTGATGACTTTTTAAATTTGTCCATTTTGGAGTGTTTCTATGGAGGAGGACAGGAGGCCTCCTTGAGGGTCTGGAGAGTGCAGTTCCCAAAGTGGAAAGCTGAGTAGAGTTGCCCATGTGAAGGGCACAGCTCCACTTTAGGGCGATCTGCCCTGTGTTTCTTCGCCCGCTAAGTAAACACTTAGCAGTGGAAGCATGAGTCAACAACATGGGTCTCTCTGAGGCAAAAGTGCACAGGGAGTGCCTATCTGTAGGTGACAGCTTGCCGCCACAGTCTGTGCATCTTCGGAATAGAGCTCTGAGTGCCATTCTCCTGAGCAGGAAAAAAGGGGAGCAGCTGAAGTGCCAATTGAGAGGTGAGAAAAATAGTCAGAAAGGAGTTTGTCTTTTTTTTTGTAGAGGAAACAAAGAAAAACATGAAGGAAGAGGGAAAAAACCTGAACATGAAGGCAATCTAGAAGGCTGAAGAGGAACAAACAATGGTCTGTATTGGAAAGTAGCAGGGGAAGAACTTCTCAATGAGCACATGATAGTGGTCAAAGAAAAACTGAGCTCTTGGTAGGAGCTCCTCCCCACATGCTGGGTTGGCTCCGGCTGAATAATCATTTATCAGCTTTGGAATCTTCTTGAATGAGGAAGATTCCCATGCATGTGCACAGAAGCCATATGTGTGATGCAGAGACCATGATGAAGAAGCATGGATTTCTCCTTTGAACCTGTGGTTCCCCACCCAACTTCAGAGAAAATTAACTCCTGCCCTTTTAGTAGAATGATTTCTGTCCATTAATTATAGTTAAAATTCAGCACAATGAAGATTTATATTACATATTGAGAGAAAGTAGTGCAATGTAACTATCAACTAAAGTGGAATTAGTCAATTTCTAATTTTAAATTGCATATAATTGTACATTAAACAGCAGTTAACACAGTTATTTCTGTGGCTGAAAGCCAGCGGAACTAGTTTTGTTTGAATTCAACCATGAGAGAAATGACTATATTTTGTCTGGATATGGTGATTGCAATACTAGAGTGCAGTAACTACTGTTGTTTGTTTATGAGCACCATAGATTGCAAATGTTTAGATAATTATACTTGCAGAAGGTCTTTTCTGAAACAGTTTCCAAATTAGAGAATGCCCTCCCTTAGACTTCTACCAAGTGTGAACTCAGTTGACTTTTTGTTTACTTTTTATTTTTTAAGCCCTTTAAAAAGTACTCTTTAACTGCTGCTTGCTCAGGATAGAGGGAAGGCCCAAGGGATCAGAGCACTATCAGGAGGCCATTCCTTAGGATTGTATTTGTAAATGTTGAAGTTTTATTGCAGCTTTTAAAACAATATATTTTAATTGATTTCTTACTTATTATAGGTTTTATTGTTTTAGTTTTTGTTATGTAAGATACCCCAACAGTTTCAAGTATAGGGTAACTTATGGATTAATAACATTAATAACAGCTTTAAATCTGAAACCTACACTAAATTTGTTCAGTCCTGTGCCATCAAGATAGTGACTGAACAAAGAAAAGCTCCTTAAGGCTTACTGGCTGCACTGAACTGTGCCCTACACTATACATCAATAATTCCTTTTGAAACACACAATATATATTGGTTTACAAAATAAAAATACAAAAATAGTAGTGATTTGCTTGCCTGTCATAACAGTTAATATCGTCCAGCCAGCAACCTTGTTTAACGATTTCAATAGATCCAGAAATATTCTTCCACGTTGCAAAGCAGTGTCGTCTTTTATCTTTATCACCATAACACAGTTCAATTCCACTGCTATTTGTTTTATCATTTTCCAAATTAGCATCAAAGAAGATGCACTCCTGTGTCTCTGATCTGCCTAGTATGGCACCTACAAGGGATTAAAAGATATTAAAAATTAAGCCATTAGATAAGGTTGCAAAACACTATGTACTCAGTACAAAGCTGTATTAAAGAATTCTCATATTACCACATTCTTTACTATTTAAGATTTGTTCCCAGTACTTCTTGGCATGCATTTCAAATAGATTTTTTTTCTGAAGTAGCAGAATAATATTTTGTTTTTAGCTATTGATTTTGGTTTAGCAATACAACTTTCATGGGTTGTAAAACACCGCTTGTAAGATTGCCTTGCTGAAGAAGCAATTACACAATAGCTGCCCTCTTAAACAGAACATACACTTTTTTGAAACTCTACTTTCCAACTACCTGGGGAAGCTCCATATAAACTTGCCTTTTCCCCTTTCCTATAGAGATGTTGCTGATGAGAGTTTATGGCATCATATGTGACATCTTTTCTGCAGGACACTAACTGGATCTGGCAACACACGGTAGGTAACAGTTACCCAAAACACTTCCATCTTATGTATTAGCAACCAGCCAACCTGGTAATCTCATGTCTGGGTGGCTGTTTGCTCCCAAATGGTTTGACACATTATGTCAAATGTGCTCTTCCTGCTGTGCTGTCCAGCAAGAAGAGCAGTACCCACACATACACTACACTTCATGATCTTGCACTTGCTGCTGCCAATGACAACCGCTCCCACCCTGCCCAAGAAGAACTTTAGAACAACTACTCTGGGTCACCAATCTTTTTTTAAAAATGCTATTCTCAGAAAATTGCATAACCATGTTGTCATTTTATGAAGATGCTGTTGTGATGGTATTTCACAGGTACGCAAGTGTGTACTTATACTGATATGTGTAGTATTACCTTACTAATCACCTTTTACATTTCAGCTTTCAAAGGAAGGTGAAGTAGGCAATTGTTTAAAAAGGCAAGACTTCATATAGGCTACGAATTTGAGCATGCTAGCTAAATTCTGGAGCAGCTGGAGACTCACGGAATAGTTGAAAAAGTAAAAGGTATTGAGAACTGTCATTTCCACACTTAAAAGCCAAAGGATGACAATAATAAAGGAGTTATACAGTCAACACATCCTTTTGGTACACCTACTTTTGCGGCCCCATCCTTTACATTTCATTTGATTGCTATGCAATGGACAGCTGGCAATTATGAACAAATCAGCCTATATACAGTCTTGCCATGTCAATTTCCATATGCCATGCCTACTCTGCTTTGCTTCTCCCTTTGACAGCTAAATTTACAATACTATTCACAAAGAAAGAATACACATATCCAACAGCTACAGGTGCACAGTTGTACACCCATGAGTGACACAAATGGTAATGATGTTAAAAATGAATACAGTTGAGCGATTGCAGGGGGTGAAAAAGAATTTTTAAAAGCCCAATTGTACATTTTTGAGGTTCAAGGGGAACTATGAATGAAAAGGAGTAGCAATCAGAGTGGGAAGGTGACAAAACACTGTCCTGCTGTAAAGGACACTGGGATAGCAGCTTAAGGATGGGGGGAGGGAGCAGACACCCCTAGCTTACTTGTAGGGTATTTTAGCATGATGTGCAACACTGTCACTGAAGTGCTTTAATCATTTCACATGCCAAGTAAAACAGGAAATAGAAATTTGCTACTTTTCTAGTCATCTGAAATGCAATATATACATTGTCGATTCCAACCTAAAATCAATGGACATATTGAAATGGAAGCATGAATTTCAAACACTTGGCTTTCTTCTTATTAAATCTTAACTATAGTACACATTAACTCTCATTTGACAAATGTGAAGAAAAAACAGCCAAACATTTATTAAATTATTTAGTCAATATTGAATAGCTTCCATCTTAATACAACCATATATATAGTTTAGCAATTAACACTTCGGATCAATTTTGTAGACAATTTTGGATCAATTTTTGTAGCCACCATTACCTGCAGAAGTGTGAGCAACTAAAAGATTTTTTTTTTTTAAATAGGGGATTTTTAGTTGGAAATTTAAATCAATCTCAGCCCACTGCCAACTTGAAAAATTAGTATAACTACATCCCAGGTCTGGTGTAAGCCATTCTTTCAGGCACAACATGGGGATTATGATCTATATTTGCACTAGTGGGAACTATTTGAGAGATTAAGAACACAAACATTTCTCATAGAAAGTAAAATCCAAGGCAGAGAGAGCACAATTGTCAGACTTTGTTACTATCTTTTGATGCCCCTGACAATGTCTGGTTGCTGGCCAAAGCACTAGATGGTATGTTTTGTGAACATTCAAACTCATGCACATCCAATCTGAAATGGTTCTTTTGCTTGCCCTGTGTCAACCCACTGGGAAGAGTGCTGCAGCGCTTCCAAGAACAAGAATGCAAAGTTGACTCCTCCCTAGAGAGAACAGATAAAGCCACTCAAATACAAGCAATGGGAGAAACAGCCAGGATTTTTCACTTGTGCTATATTCAATGGGAGAAGGTGCAAAACAAGTGGGTGGTGTTCTTTGCAGCACTGGCTAAGTATACTGCCACTACCATCCATATTATTATTTCCCACCCCTGAAGGCTCTGGGGGTTGGACAGGAAATCTCTATGAGCCAGAGTTTCTCCATTCCTGTTTTAGCTGTTAATATTTGCTCTGAGTGTCATACTGCTCCTTTTATTTTTAACCAAAGACAAATCTTAGATGATAACTCAGGGAGAAAAATCCTGTCTATCGTTAAATTGGCAACAGTGAATTCACTCTTATGGTTGTTAGTCTTCATCATTCCATGTTAAACATATATTCTTTTACAAGCTTATTTTGTTGGACTCCTGATTCCTTAAGTAATAAATATAGCCACAGACATATTTGCTGTATAGTAGGAACAACCTACTCTTATTCTTGATAGAGTGAACATCATTCCAGCCACCACTTGCCACATTATCCCTTCTCTTCCAGGGCCAATGCCTGATTTTTCCACTAAATGTTCCTCTATCTGCTTAGAGAGCTCTTGGACTAATAATACAGGATATAAGTTTAATAATAGTAATAGTAGTAGTAATAATAATAATGATAGGTATTTGTTCTATGTTCTTTTTCAAGCATCACCTAAATATACTCTGACCTTCTTCAACACCTTTGTTTCTTCTCTGCTTGCTCCTGATCCACTCTTCCCTTTCTTTGTAACTCTAATATGTTCTATTATGCCTTTATAACCAATTTCCAAATTTGTTTCTATCATTGTCTATTTTAACTTCAGCTCTTTTCAGTTTCAGTACTTCATTCTGATTTGCATTCTTAAGAAGATCAAGTATACCTACTTTTTTAATAAGAGATTTTCAGAGACTATGCAGAAAAATAGAGTAACACAATTAAAGTCATCCTTCCTGTTCTACTATAAAGGTAAAGGTTTCCCCTTGACGTTAAGTCCAGTCATGCCTGACTCTAGGGGGTGGTGCTCATCTCCATTTCCTAGGTGAGGGAGCAAGCGTTTGTCCACAGACAGTCTCCGTGGTCATGTGGCCGGCATGACTAAACACTGAGGTGCATGGAACACTGTTACCTGCCCACCGAAGTGGTACATTTTTATCTACTTGCATCTGCATGCTTTTGAACTGCAAGGTGGGCAGGAGCTGGGACGGAGGAACGGGAACTCACCCCGTTGTGCAGATTCGAACCAGTGACCTTTCGATCAACCAGCCCAGCAGCACAGTGGTTTTAAACCACTGCGCCACATGCTTGGAATTTCTCATTTATTTGATTCTTTCAGTACTTTCCAAGAAGGCTAGGGAAGCTGGTTAAGATATCTGCTGCATTTAATATCCACACGTAAAGATTTTCTAGTCACATATTGGGTCACCATTATTTCCTTGAGATGCTGGGGAATAAAATGGTTTACAACACTAAGCAGTGGAGATTTTTCAACTAAGAAGATGCCTAGCTATTTAAAAATTGTGTTGGATACTAGAAATTTTAAATAATTTTGTAAGTTTGTTCTCGTGGGTGAAACCAGATGCTAATAGTCTGAATTTGCTCTCAACATCTTATGGTAAAGAAAATACAAGGCATATACTGGGAGTAGGTACCTGCAACCTCGGTTTGGATATTTAGCAAATAACTGGAAGAATGGAAAAAGTCCCCAGAAAATGGAAATCCTAAGATGTTCTTTTCAAGTAGCAATAATTCCAACCAAAAACAACAACCAACACCACCACCAAACAAAACAAAACCCAGAAAACAGTTCATTTCAAATTATTTTCTATATTATTTATACTTATAATTTTACTACTTAATCCCATGATTCAAGAGTTTTTATTCTATTTTGGTTCATCTGCATTGTATTTGTGAAATCTGCTCCTTTGATTATCATGATCATAACTGGAACAAAACAACTACAAGATGGTTTGAGAGAGGCATGAAGAAAGAAGGCAGCTAGTGCTGACATGTCCAACCATAAATAAGGCAACTGACTGGAGGACAGGAATGAGTAATGAACAAAAAGGTCTGAAATGAAAAATATACATAAACTCAGTCAATATAAACTAGCATTTTGTTATACTAAGTAAAATGTACTCATATGTTATGTACTCCTCCCTGCCATAGATACCCCTCTGTAATAATGTATTACTATAGAAACAGTATAATTGGGTTATTGTCTGGTCCTTTTGATATATTATGGATGCTGTAAAACCAACACTAAATGTATTGGTTTTTTTTTAAAAAGACTACCAAGTAGCTGTAGATCTTAACAGATGCATACACTTCTTTTTCTAATATAAACATAATAGTTAAAGAGTCTGAGGAAAGAACATGACAAATGTAATATCAACTTTAATTAACGCAGCTATGGAAATGTCAGAATATCTACTAAGCTACTTCAGAAAGCCTCTGAAACATGCATCTGCAAAGCACATCACAGCTACAGCTTTCTGAGACAAGAGAGAAAACTTCCAGTTCATTTTTTATATGTAGATATGAATGGCCAAAAAGGAATTTAAAAATTAAAAGTGGCATACTCAACTATCCAAGATTATTCATTTTTT